TCCTTCCTCCTCTCTCTCTCTCTCTCTCTCTCTCTCTCTCTCTCTCTCTCTCTCTCTCTGTGCATGGTTGGGCTTTGTCCGCGATTGTCTCATACACCACGTCGTTTGCATTGTCGCGCCCGCCCTCCTTGCCTCGATGCTGGTCGGCCAGCTTTTCGGGTTTCCCTCGTCACCTGTCGCTGCACACGGGTTCGTCGTTTCGCCCGCACATTCCCTTTGGTAGTCGTCGCGTTGCCCTGTTCGAGGTCGCTTGGGCGGGGAGGACCGAATGCGTCGACCCCGCCGGCGCGCACAATAGAAATCGGTCTCGCCGCTCTCTCGCCCTCTCGCTCGCTCTGTCGACCCTCTGTATCGTCAGTCTGTCTGCCTCGCCCTGCTTGTCGATAGCGTCGCGTAGCGCCGAGTGCCGTGACGACACGACACGACACGACACGCCTAGATACGATCCCACGATGCTGCTAGGCTGGCTGGGTACATAACTGAACGAATGACGATCCGACACGGGCTGTGCCGCATGGCTCGTGGGTCAGCGTCTGTAGGGCTGTGTCGGTAGAACGAGCCGGGAGGAGCGAGGTGGCGCCGCAGAGAGAGATGGGCTCAGCGGCGTCGAGAGTGCGGGCGAGGCAAGGGGCGACTTTGTGTTGGATTTCCGATGGCCCGAGCGCGTTGGGCGGAGCGGAGAGCGACGTGGTGGAGCTGGCCTGGCCGAGGCACGCGGCCAAGGCAACGCTGCCTCAGGCTCAGCCAGGGTCAGCCCACGCACACACGCCACGCCTCCTCGTCCACGCATACGACCACCACCACCGCCCGGCCTTCCTCCCAGCACACCCCGGCCTGAGCCGTCAATCGACTGGCTCTTGATCTTTACCGCTCGCCAATCGTCCTGCGGCAAACGGACCACCATCGCTTAGCCCTCATTCCCCCTCACCATGCACCTCTGCAAGCACTAGCGCACACCTTCGCCTCGCCCTCCTCCCTCGGTCACGCCTTTCAAACGCAGCCACGTCGGGTGGTCAGCTCGGATAAGTGGGGCAACTATGTCGAGCCACTCAGCAGGCGACTCTGCCAACGGCGCGGGCGGCTCAGGCACCACCGCAGGCGATGCGGTCGCATCGGCCTCGCCGTCGTCGCTCAACTACGTCCCCTACCAGCGCAGATCCCACGCTCGCAACGCTTCCACCCTCTCCCAGGTCAGCGTCTCGTCGGCGCCAAGATCAGAAGCTCCCAAAGCAACCGGCACTTCTGGCACATCTCCTGCCGCTGTTCCACCTGTCGCCGCGCCCGCAGCATCCTCATCACCTGGGCCGCAGAACTCGACCAGCATAGCGAGACTTGGCACCATGGCAGCACCGACTCCGCCAGCGAGCCATACAGGCGGCTCGCAGCAGCATTCTTCGATACCCCCTCGCGGCTTGCCAGTATCACCGGTGCCCAGCGGCCCTCGTTCGTCGAACCCTGCGCCGCCACTCGTCCGCATCGGATCAGGCGCGGCCGCACGCAACCTTCCCGCCCCTCCTCCGCTGCGCAGCGCCTCGGCCCTGCGCAAGGAGACTCCAGCATCGCCCGACTCCCCGGCCGCATCCTCCAAAGTCGCCGGGAAACAGCCGGAGAAACCTTCGCTCCCACGCCAGCCCAGCGCGGGGACAATCGCCCTCGGCCAAAGAAGAAGCAGCAATGCGTCCTCGGCTCCCAGCCCCGTCGACGTCGGTCAGCGGCAATCACCTGCCAGCCATGGGCGGTCGCCGTCCAGCGCCATGCTGAACTCTCCCAAGCCCGACCGAGATCCGCGCCTCAGCCATGCGCGCTTGGCGGGACCGCGCGCATCGACCAACCTGGAGACCAGCAGCGCCGGGTCATCGAGGTCCAGCCCGCTCAACAGCGGCGCCGCCACGCCGCGGCTTGGCTCCGGCAACATCAGCGTGCCCGCGCACGTTCACTCGTATGCAGCCCTGCTCGCTGCGCAGTCTAAGCTCGGACCCATACCCGTCCCACAGGGTGTGGCCATCGCCAACGTGGTGGGCCAGCATCAGCAGCAGAACGGCGAGGGCGGCCAAGGTGGCGCGAACGGCTTCAACCGCCTCGCCAACGGACGGTCTACTGCCTACCGTCCCGGTTTCCAGCCAAGGGGGGCGTATAGAGTGAGAACCGACGAGTTTGTCGAGGCCAGGCGCAAGAGGCGCAGCGAGGGCGAAATGGAGCAGCAGCGGATGGAGCGGCGATTGGCGAAAGTGAGTCTCAGAGTCTGGTCAGTCCGGACCACCAAGGCAAGGCACAGTTCCCGCGAGGCTGACCGCCCCGCTGGCCCTCCACGTCCCGATGGTCCTGCTTGCAGCTCATCACGATACACTTTGCGCCGCAAGAGGTCGACGAGCACGGCGAAAAGGGGCCCGCACTGCCGAGGCTCGACTTTGACCTGGGCGAGCTCCGGCGGGATCCAGGGTCCGTGCTGAAGCGGGGAGGCTCTGACCTCTGGAGCTCGCTGAGGGCGCGCACCCGGGGCGAGGACCTCGTCAAGCGAGCGGCCGAGCAGAGCATTGTCAACTGGCAGGACGATGCCGAGGTCAAGGCGTGTCCCATCTGCAGCACGGCCTTTAGCTTGACGGTGCGCAAGCACCACTGCCGCCTCTGCGGCCGCGTCGTCTGCGCTTCGCCGCACCTGTCTCGGCCGGCGTGGCCCGAAGCGGTGGGAGCGCCGGGCGATGCGACCCAGCCGATGCCGTTGGTAGAGCAGCGCAAGCAGCTCGAGAGGAAGTGCTCGTCGCTCATCGTCGCGGATCCGGTGACGGGCAAGATTGAGGACGCGAGGGACGCCGCCGGCCTGGCGAAAGGCGCCGCCGACGGCAAGGCAGACCGCGCTGCGAGCGAAAAGGGCGTCCGCATCTGCCGCGACTGCAAGGATGTGATCCGGTGAGTGTGCGGTGCTCGCCGAGCCGTACCAAGGTCCACACAGAATGCTGACCCCCCGATCGCTTCTCCTCGATGTCGATCATCGCATCGCCATCCCGACAGGAAGCGGCAGTACATGATCGACGATGGGACGGTGCCGGCCTACCTCAAGTTATACGAGGTGAGTCGGGTTCGCCGTTCTGCTGCGGTGCCGACGATCGACTGACGAACCGTCCACGTCGGTCCGGGCATGCTCAGGCGTTGATGCAAGTGCAGAAGGACATCGAAGAGTCGCTGCCCGAGTTTCAAGAGATGGTGCTGGGCCTGCAGTGAGTGTAATGCGCTCCGCTGCCTTCGCTTTCGTCCTGCAGCATGGCGGTGACTGATGACAAGTTTCCTATCCTCTCTCTCTCTCTGGCACCCGCAGAAAGCACGACCATACCGCGGCGCTCGGATCGTCGGCCAAGGCCAACATTGAGCTGCAGCGGGATGCGGCACAGGCGCGCAAGCAGCTGCTGGCCAACTTTGCCACCTACGACGAGCTGGCCAAGCGGATCCGCAAGCTGCCCGCCCCTGCGTCCGAGGGTGGTGGCGGCAGTAGCGATGCGGCGCAGGAGAGGGTCCAGCAGGCCATCTGGACCAAGGCCAACCTGTTCCTCCAGCAGAATGTGAGTCGGCGTCGGAAGCGGCTCGCGGTCGCGGAAGCATGGAAGGACCCGGACCTGATCGACCGCCCATCCTTGGCCGGCACCAACAGATGCTCCCTCTTCGAAGCCTGCCCAAGCCCGGTTCCAAGAAGCCCAGTTCGACGGCAGGGTCCGATGAGGGCGCCGAGGCCAAGACCAAGGCCAAGAGGCCGACGGGCGGCCCGCCTCGGCGCGGAAACCAGGCCCGAGGCGGCTCGGTGAGCTCGATGGCCTCGTTCCAAACCTGGCTGGGCGGCAAGGGGCGGCAGAGCAACGGTGGTGGTGGCGAGGCCATGACGCTGGCCGAGGCGTCGCGCTTGCAGGCCGACGAACGATTCGACGAGGGCGACGACGACGACGACGACGACTACGGCGGAGACGACGACGATGGACCGGTGGATGTGGCTGCGCTCGAGGAGCAGCTGGGGGTGCTGCTGGAGCAGGAGCGGCTCGTGTCGGGCTACGTCGAGAGCGCCAGCCGCGCGCGCAAGTTTGACGACGCGCGCACGCTCAAGGCGAGCCACGACGACCTGTGCCGCGAGATCTTGCGCATGCAGAGGAAGCTCGTCGTCAAGGGCCAGGGAAGGGCCGGTGCGGCGGCGGCGTCAGCGTCGGCGGCAGGGTAGCATGGGTACGAGGGCGGCGCGGTGCAGAGAAGCGAATGCGGAGCCAAGCGACGCGCCCATCATGATGCAATGATCGCAGACAGGAGCTGGAGAGGTGCCAGCCCACCCACGCCATGCGGCCCCACTTTTGATGATACGGCCCCGACCTCGTCGTCTACAACGCGCGTCCAGGCGCAGACGAGCGAGGGGCGTCGATGGCAGGCCGGCCTGGCCCTGTCGACGACGGCCAGCGCGACGGACGCGAAGCAGTCGAGGGGCCCAGCCAGCCAGTCAGAGTGAGTGGAGGTTGGGCCGACGGCGTCGGCTTGGCAAAGGGGGTCCCTGCATGGCCCGCTGGCCTGCGCCCGCCCCGCCGACTCAGGGGCCAACGACGGTCGCTGCCAGGCCGACTCCAGACCGGACCCCACCGCTCGTCAGGTCGCCGCCCGCCGCGTGCAGCATCTTCTTGGTTGTCCACCACCCTCGCCTCGCCCCTCGCCCCGGACTCGCCATCAGGTATCGCGCCCATCTGCCCTCACTCCCCTGCCCTCTCTGCCTCATCTTGCTCACTCGTCTCGGACTGCTCAGACATCGATACCCCACAACGAGGCCGCCCCAGACCGTCCCCGCTCCATACCTTCTCGTCCGGCGACATGCCCGCCAGCTGGACAGCACCGCCATGGTCCGCCTCCATCCCAGTCCCAGAGCAGAAGCTAGGCCTGGTGGTCACCGCCGACGGCCTCTACGTCCTCCCGCGCACCCGCTCCCCCGCCGAGCTCAACCACGCCCACCGCTCGCATCACGGTCACGCCCACTCGGCCTCGACCCCCGCCACCACTGCCTCGGCCCCGCCGACCGACGTCCATAGCAAGGGCAGCAGTGCCGGCAGCAGCAGCAGTAGCAGCAGCAACAACAACAACAACAGCAACAGCGGCAGCGGCAACAACAAGTTCAACCCTTTCAGCGCCGCAAAGCGCCTCACCAATGCCAGCCTGGGCCTACGTCTGGCCGCCAGCCCGTCGCCCTCGCCCTCGACATCGCACACCGCCTCGCCAGCCGTACAGACGAGCTCCTCGCCTCTTCCCGATGCAGTGCGAATAGGCTGGGGCAGGGAAGGAGGGCTGGACCGCGTCCCCTACTCGCAATGGAGCTCCCTCTTCGACGGGCAACGGGACGGCGCTCCAACCGCCGAGCCATCGACCAGGGCCGAGACCGAGTTCGAGGAACTGCTCGTCCACGGCATCGTCGGCCTCGAGCGCCTCTTCAACCGCGCCTACCTCTTTGTCGTCACCGGCCGCAAAGAGGCCGGCGAGATCGGACACCCGTCCCGCAAAGTCTTCTGCTGCTCTGGAGTCCTCGCCATCCCGCTCGACGAGGAAAAGGCCCGCGAGCTCATCAGAGCGCAGATCGCAAAGGAAAAGTCGCACAGCTCGTCGTCGGCGGCGGCGACGGCGGCGGCGGCTGCGGCTGCGGCCAAGGAGGGGCAGAAGGGGTCGAGCGGAGGCGATGACGACGACGACGACGACGACGACGGGTCTACCGAGGACGACGAGAGCGATACGGAAGACGACGACGAGGACGTCATGGACGACGTCGAGACGCCTGCTGCCATCCCGCGCGAGCCGTTCTTCTCCGACCGACAGCTTGGGTCCGGCTCCGCGACGGTCCGCGCTCCCAAGTCGAGGCCGTGGTCCAATCGGGACAACGTGCGCACGTTTTCGCAGAGTCGGCTTGGGACAGTCGAGACGCACGAGCACGAGGCTGGCTCGGGCGAGACGGACGAAGTCGACCTGCCCACGTCGGACCCTCTTGCGGCAAAGGGCGAGAAAGGTGAGGCAGGCAACGAGGGCGAGGGCGACGACGCGCAGCAGGTGCAGCAAGACTCGGCGGCGGAAGCGGCGTTGTCGCCGGACGCCTCGCCAGACGAGCAATGGCGGCAGGCGACGCGCATCGAGCTCGAAGAGAAAGTGGTCAAGGAGACGAGCAAGCACTTTGCGCGGGGCGAGTTCTGGTTCGCCTACACGTTTGACCTAACCACGTCGATGCAGAAAAAGTACGACGCCCTCGCCGCCGCTCAACAGCAGCCGCAGCAGCGCAAGACGGCGGCGGCGGCGGCGGCGGCATCGTCAGCCCATCGAGAGGCCGGGTCCGAGACGACGGCAACGGCAACGGCGACGGCAACGGCGACGGCGACGGCAACGCAGCGTCCGCTCATGGACGAGCCCCACGCCAACCTGGCGCTCTGGAGGAGGGTGGACCGCCGTTTCTGGCACAACGAGCACCTCTGCCGCGATCTCATCGCCGCCGGGCTCGACGCCTTTATCCTACCACTCATGCAGGGCTACCTGCAGATCGTCCCGCTGCCCCTCGATTCGATCGCTGGCGACGATGCCGACGAACCAGCGGCCGTCGCGGGCGAAGCGTCTTCGTCGGCGATGGAGACTGAGACCGAGATGGAGACGGAAGTAGCGCCCGCCGCGACGCTGGTGGTCATCTCGCGACGGAGCAAGGAACGCGCCGGGCTGCGGTACCAGCGCCGAGGGATCAACGAAGCGGGCCAGGTGGCCAACTTTGTCGAGACCGAGCAGATTCTCTTCCTCGACCTCCATCCCGCCTCTCCTCCCTCGTCATCATCGTCGACGACGACGTCGAGCGCGATGGCGACGGAGGGTACGGCGCACCTCTTCTCCTTCTACCAGATCCGGGGCTCGATCCCGCTCTTCTGGTCCCAGTCGCCCTTTTCGCTCAAGCCGCCGCCGGTGCTCGAGCGCGCCCAGGCCGAGAATGACGAGGCGTGCCGCAGGCACTTTGACGTCCAGACGCGCCGGTACGGCAAGCTGGTCTGCGTCAACCTAGCCGAGCAGGGCGGCAAGGAGGGTGTCATCTCGAAGCGCTACCGCGAGACGGTGCAGCGCCTCGCCGCCTACGCCGACGAAGGCGAGCTCGACCGCGACGACGCCGTTGTGGCCGGGACGGGCCCTGCTGCGACCACCAAGATGGTCGGGTACCGCGACTTTGACTTCCACAAGGAGTGCGCCGGGATGAAGTTTGAAAACGTGAGTAGCACCGGGCGGTACTGGTGTCGTCGTCCCGGCGGTTGCAGTCCCACCAGCGTCATGCAGCTCACCTCGTCCTTCTCGCCTCCTCCCTCCCTCGCCCGCTCCATCACCCTCCCCGCGCGGACACAGGTGCAAAACCTCATCCGCGATACGGCATCGACGCTGAGCCACTTTTCCTTTTTCCACCTCTGCTCGCCCTCGCCCTCGCCCTCGTCGACGCGGGCCGGGGGCGCCCAACACGAGGTCCGATCGAGACAGAGGGGCACGTTCCGCACGTCATGCCTCGACTGCCTGGACCGCACCAACGTCGTCCAGTCGGCTTTTGCCCGCGTCGTGCTCCAGGGCTGGCTCGATGGCGTCGGCATCGGCGGTCAGGCATCGGCCTCTGAGTCCTCCTCCTCCGCCGGCGGCGAGGGGCCAAAGTGATCAGGGCCGATGTCCATGTCGGCTCCCACCTGTCTCGTCTCGTCTCGTCTCTATCGCCTCTACGGGCCCACCGCTCGATCTCATCCGAATGCAGTGCGCGGAGATCGGTGCCGCTCAGTCAGGCCGAGGCTGAGTTCGAGTGGCATGGACGCGCGTGCCAGGCAGGCGGGCAGGCGGGCAGGCGGGCAGGCAGGCAGGCAGGCAAAAAGCGGCGACATGGCGGGGGTATACGAGCGGCCCCGGCCCGATCTCTGCGCCTTGCACCTCAGGAGGCAGTCTTCGGGCCGGACACGCTAAGGCGTCGGTCGATGTTCGTCGGTCGATCAGAGCCACAACCTCCGTTTGAGACCTTCGATGAGCGGACCCAGGTACCCGGCGTTGGCCTTGGCCGCTTCGAGGCTGTCGTCGCAGGAGCACGCGCGAGAAAAAGGGGCCGCAGCAGCGCACCGTACCGTCAGCGCCGCTCGTACCTGCACAGGGGGACCCGACTCGACTCGACGCGACGCGACGCGGTGCGACCGGCCAAGGCACCCACTCACCTCTGGACGGTGCCGCTCTTGAGAAACTCCTCGTCATCCTCGCCGGTACACGCCCCGACGTCCTGGCAGCACCGGACGAGGAGGTCGACGATGCGCTTGACAGTCTGCTTGCTCGTCGCTGTGCCGCCGTCGCTTTCCGTCGTGTCCTTTCGCGATCGGGCGCGACTCGGCGATGGCGACGACGCCGATGCGGACGGCAACGGCACGTTGAGGTGGAAGCCGAAGCGCGATCCGACCGTCGGCGCCGCCTTGGGCGAGGCGCTCAAGTCGAGATCGTCCGAGATGGCACGGAAGGCGAGCAGCCGGCTCGTTCCCGCCGGCAGAGAGGCGGGGCTGGGCAGCTTGATCGACGTCGTCGAGTGCGCTCTGCGTTGCACGTCGGTGCGTGGGACGTGGAAGGACGTCGGGGGGTCAGGATCGGTTGCGAGACGGCGGCGGGCGGGACGACGAGGGCACTCACCGGCTCTCGTCGTTGAGGTAGGTGATGACAAAGCCCCAGTTGTCCTCGGGATGGTGGCCCTCGTTGGGGTTGATGATGTAGAGTCCTGTGGGGTCGGCGGGCAGATTAGCGGCTGGTCGTCAGCATCGTGGTCCTGACAGTCTGCACTGCTGTCCTCCCGGCGACAGACTCACCTTCCTTGATGCCGATGATGTCGCCGACCAGCACCTTTGTGAACTGCGAGAGCCGTTCGCCGCCAAAGTCGTAGCTGCACACGTAGAGGGCCTTGCGCGTCTGTATTCGTTGGCAAGAGGTGGGATGGGGTGAGTGAGGCGCCCATCCGCCAGGGCCCACATCAGCATTCGGCCGAGGGCAGAGTGGCCTGCGCGTCGGGGAAACGAGGTTGGCCTAGTTCCCGACGACGACACTCACGAGCAGGACGACCTTTTCCTCGAGCTTCGCCGACTGGATCTGGTTTGGCTCGACGGGAGAGCAGAGCGTCCACCCTCCAACAAGCGTCTCGTCGTTGGGGATGACCTCGGCCTTGCAGCTCTCGATGGCGCTGGCGCGCACGCGCACGAGGCGCACCGCCTCGGAGGGGTCGCGCGAATCGAGATCATCGTAGTACCTCTCGAGCCCGGCGATGCCGATCGAGCCGTAGACAAAGTCGAGCACCGTCTGGCGGAAAAAGTCGGTGACGGCGCCCTGGACCATGCGGTACACGCTGTTGGTGGCGTCGTTGATCATGCCCATGAAGCTGCGCTTGCCGGTGCGCGTGAAGTCGACCTTGAGCGCGTCGGTGTTGGAGTAGCAGTGCGATATGGCGTTGGCGTTGTTGGCCCAGACGTCGTTGAAGGCGGCATCGAGCGCCTTTTCCGAGACGACGAAGCGCGGGCGGCGCTGGCGGGCGGGAGAAGTGACGGTGGTGGTGGGGCCCGACGGCGCTGCGGGTGCGACCTGCTCCTCGATGGCGGCTGTGGGCTGCGGCGGTGCCACGGATGCGGGTGCTACCGCCGTAGCGGCCTTGTCTGCGGTCATCGCGTCGAGGTGGCCAAGAGGGATGGTCGAGGTGATGGTGGTAGCAGCAGCGACAGCGACGGAGGTGGCGGGGTGGGGACGCTCTTTGGGCGCTGTTGCCGCTGCAGCCCCTGAAGAGTGATCAGGCCCTGCAGCAGCACAAGCAGCCCTCCACACCCATCTGGACCAACACCGCTCGAGGGCTTTCTTTGGCTGGCTGGCCTGGCTCGGCTCTGCGCTGCTCTGCTGGTTGTGTCTGTTTCGGCCTGGTCCGTTGCTCGCGGCTCTTCCGACCCTCGACAAGCTTCCCTTCAGCGATCCGCCTGCTCCCACAGGACGCATTACTGCTGCTGCTGCCGCCGCTCGACATCAGCCCTTCAGCGACGCACGGCCCAAAGGCCGGCTGCATCGGGCGCAGCAAGCCAAGCGCGGCTTCTTCTTCCTCCGCTGCCCTCGACTCGACTCTGCGCGCAAACCACCGCCAGCCGCAGCGACCGCCATGGGCTCCGCCACCGTCGAAGAGTACATCGAACTGCTCAACGCGGAGCAGCACGTCGACCTCCAGAAGCTGCGCGACTATGCCCGCCACGGCACCCAGCCCGACGTGCGCGGAGAGGTGTGGCTCTACCTCCTCGGCGTCCTCTCCGACGACAAGGGCCAGGAGATGACCTCGGTCCGCAGCAAGTACCTCGAGTACGAGCAGATGGACAAGCACAGCCCCGCCCTCGAGAAGCGCATCCGCGCAGAGTGCTCGAGGTACTACCAGAAACGCCTGGCCGCTCGTCCGCCACCGGGGCGCAGCCTGATGCAGTCGAGTGAGTACGAGGGAGTGGTGTCGGCACGGCCCGTGTCTGACCTTCAGATCCACGCACGTCCTTTCCCCTCCTGCTCACACCTTGCCCTCTAACCCTCTGGCACCCCGAAACGATCGCAGGCCGTACCATCGGATCCCGTCCGCCCGGCAGCACAGCCTCGGCCTCGTACTCGCGCCTGCACAGTGACGGCGCAGGCGTGGCCGTCGGCGGGGCGTCGACCAGCGGCTCGGCCAGCAATGCCATCGTCGTCAGCCTCGACCGCGGCCCCAACCGCGTCAACGACGGTCGCATCCACGCCCTCGGCGGCATCATTGGCGACAACGGCGTCACCGCCGCCATGGATGCCGACGACCCCGAGGCAGTCGCGGCCGCAGAGCTCAAACGCTTCGGTCGCAGCGTCGAGAACGTCATCTGCGCCTACCTCAACCGCTACAGCCACCCTTCGCGCCACACCCGCGAACAGAGCCGCGGCCACGGCCTCGGCCCCCATCACACAAGTCTGGACCGCTACGGCAACTCGTCGACGAGCTCGTCGATACAGGGCCACAGCTCCGACGTTGACGACCCGGGCCTCTCGCAGGCGCATCCGTCGCGGTCAGATGGCGTGTCGGCGCTCGAGTCGGCGGTCGACGCCACAAGCTCAGAGGACGGGTCAATATCGCGGCAGCATTCGGCCCATGTGCACCATCACAACCACCACCAGCAGTCACAGCAGCACCTGCACAGAGAACGCGAGGGGCCGGGCTCGAGGTCGCGCTCGAGGGCGCCCTCGACCGGCCAGACGCTCGAGGGGTCGCTCAAGGCCCGCATGCCACGCGAGTACGAGTGGATGCCTCAGATCGAGACGACAAGAGACGACGGCACCAACGCCGGGCCCGGCAGCGGCCTTGCTGGCGGCGGGAGCCGTGGTGGTGGTGCTGCGGGGACGCCACGCGAGTTCCACCCGGCGCTCGTCTACCTCTGCGCGCCGTTCGTCAAGTGCATCCGGGTCGAGGCGGGCATGTACTTTGCCTTTGAGAGGCTCATGACCATGATGGCCGAGTACAACGCGCGCAAGCCGCTGCCGCTGCAGGTGGCCACCTTTCTCACCCTCTTCCGCACCACGCTGCCCGAGCTGCACTCGTACTTCGAAGAGGAGGAGGTCGACATCATCAGCGTCGCCACAAACTGGCTGCAGCACCTGCTGGCCGGCGAGCTGCGCATCGAGGATCTGATGCGGCTGTGGGGTGAGTGCGGCGGTCCCTCGCCCGTCGAAGGCACGCGCGCTGACCGCTCGACTTTGCGTCTGCCCCGGCCTCCTCGGCTCGCTGCTGCAGACACCTACTTTGCGGTCGCCGATCCGATCGACCTCCATCTCTACGTCTGCATCGCCATCCTCACCAACTGCAAGGACTCGCTCGAGGAGCTCGACCGGTCAGAGACGAGAAGCATGCTCTACAGCCTTCCGCCGCAGGACATCGATCGGGTGCGTGAGCGATGCGGTTCTCCGTGCGCGTCGTTGGATCTCGCTGACCGTCGCGATCCCCCCGCTGGCGCGACCGATGCTCTTCGCAGGTCGTCAACGAGGCGATCAACATACGTCTGAGCCATCAGCAGGCGTTGAGGGAGCAGGAGGAGGAGACCGAGGAGGCGGACGTCTGAGACCAGGGCAGGCAGCCCGACAGGGCCGCTGCTCTCGGCCGGCTGAGATGCGCTTCCGTAGCCCACCGGCGTCACGCCAGCGCTGTCTGCGTGAAAAGAACCCCCAAAATGGCGAGGAATTCTCCCCTACCTTCAGCCATCGATCGAGGTCTTGCCCGATTGCCGCTGTCGTAACACGGCACACAGGGTAAGGGCTCGTGGCCCGGCCGGCGCCCGCTACGTCCGCCACGAATCTTGAATACGATCAGATTGACGGCATGCTCCATCGATGCGAGGACATGTCACCCGACGGGTTCCCACGCAGACAACCCCGGAATCGACCGCGGAACATCCCTGCTGCCTTGTCAGCGCGATCCTGCCGCTGCGCTCGCCGCTGGCAACGGGACAACAGAGAGAGCGCACGATGATAGCGATGCACAGCGGACGAGCAGGCAGACGCCTCTGATCAGCCAAAGGCCCACGACAAGATCTTCGCATGCGGAGCCGTCGACGACCTTACCCATCGTCCATCATATCGGTAATCGCCTTCGCTCGATGCCGAGTGCACGACAGGTACGACGCTGATCGTGAGGACGAGCACGATGACAGGATCACGCTTTCTGACTGAGCGACCCCTATCCACTCACTTATCACGCAGATGCGAGCCGCTGTTGATCTCGGTCACGAAGCAGGAAGGATCGACCGATGATCCGCAGATCCTCGCCAGGCCTTCACATGCCATTTGCAGGCGGCTGGCGGCGATGGCGGAGGACAAGCCCATCGCTAGAACCCTCGTCGCTTTTCGGCTCCGTCGATGCGGCGACAGCTGCGGGCCTCACACGTACGAGAAATGCTCAATTTCCTCTCCGCGGCTGCGCCTGTCTCATACGGGGACCAGGTAGGGCCCCCTCGAAGTTGAGCCGTCATTTCGAGGGTGCGTCTCATCTTCCTGCGACGATCGACCGACCCCCCGCCGGCCACCTTACTCTCCTCCCCGTCTCCATCTCGCCAGTCGCCACCCTCTTCTTCCAGTAACCTGCAGTGAGGCGGTCCCAGCGGGCAGCGAGCAAACGCCGAAAGCCTCGAGCCTCTCCGCGTGGGGGATGGGTCGGCCGACTTCTCTCCGCCAGCACCCTCGATCAACTGGATCGTCTGCTCGGCATCCGCCTGTCCGAGATCGACGTTGACCGCCGCTCTACGGACCGTGAGACCTCGACGTGAATCAGGGTGGCGAACGTGAGTTGACCCGCCTTGCCTTGCCCTGCCTGCCTGCCGTGACATCCTCGCACCTAGCGGTACAGCCTGGCCCGCCACGCGCCACGCAGCACGCTGGGTCAGACACCATTTGCCGCCGCGTAGAGTGTAGTTCGCCGAAACGAGGGCCCCACATCTAGCTTGCTTGTCCCTCGACTGGAACGGCATCCGAGCCAAGCCAATGCCAGGCATGCTTGCAGGTCCAGACAAAGGAGACCAGCTTCGCTCGGCAGTTATCCTCGACCATACTGTGGCGCGCCGATGCGGGCATGTCGGTTTGGCCGGTTCCTAGCCTGGCATATCGATGAGTGGCGCTGGATTGCCGGATGAAAGAGGGCCGACAAGGTGCGAGCACATCGGTATCCACCCACCCTCGGTCAGCTCCGACGAGCGAAGGCGAGCTGGTCGTGAGAGGTTTTCAGGGCAGGACGATGGCAAGGAGGCGCGGGGTCAAAGAGGCTCCCTCCGCGCGTCGAGCCGGCAGGCCTCAGGCATGGACGGGACCGGTCGCCGTCCTTCCCGCGCGCCCTGCGCAGTCTCTTTCGAGGGTGGCCTTGCTTCCCACCGCGAGCGGACCGAGCCAGCGACGGAGGATCCGACGATCACACAGAAGAGGGGGGAGCCGTGAACGAGATCCAGACGAAAAGATCAGCGGCGGGCTGATAATCAGACATTCCAGCTCCGCGGCCAGTCAGGCATGGCAGTCTTGGAGAGTGCACCCTGAAACGTCGTGGGAAGGTCATTCACGCTCTCGTCGAGCCCTCGTGATCGCGGCCGGCTCCGGTAGCGTGCGTGCTGAGATGGATTCTACCGTATTTACTTAGGTACCCGGGCAGCGCAACTGATGGCGAGGCTGGACTGCTCTGGACCGAAGCGACGATCGCTGCTCGCCCCTATCGAGGCCGATGGGACGAGGCAACGGCTCCCACCAGTCCCCGGAAACCGAGCCCCTATCCTACCTAGTGCCGGTGCGTCTCGCTGTTTGGGCTCATCGCGGATCAAGTAGCAGGTTCTTGGCGGCGTGTCGGCTGTACGCCCATCGGGAAGGCCAAAGCTCACCTACTCACACGATGGCTGCGCCGTGATAGAGGGGTTGGGTAGGGTAGATGGTGAGCCAGCGGACAGGCCAGGAACGAGGGCACATGCCGGCGTCGGGAAAATCCTCGGCGCGAAGATCTTTGACCCACCCTCGGCTCCTCTTCTTCGACGGGGGTGTTGGCCCCCCTGCCTGCCTTTGCCGCCGCTCTCCCGCCTGCTTCCGTGACTGCTGCAGATGAAGAGGCGGGGGGTTGCGTGTCCCCAAGGCAGGGTCCGGAAATTTGCCGGCAGAGACGCTCCAGGCCAGAGGCTCTTCGGGGGGTGATCACCGCTCGGGGCGCCGATGCCACATGGGGGAGCGGCCACCCTCGAATTCTGTGCGCTGCTTGACAGCCGTCCCCTCGAATTCTTCCTGCCTGCGCCTGCTACCTACCTGCCTGTCCCCCGAAGCTTGCTTGCCCGAGACTACTGCCGACGCCGGATCGTCGGTCGATCCGCGACACTTGGCTGCGCCTGTCCCCTCGTTTCGGGAGGGCCTGTTCCTGCCTGCGCCGCTCTCTGCTGGCGACCGGGCTTCTTCTGGCCACGACACCTGCCTACCGCCGCCCAAAATGGGGGATCCGGCGCTCTTGGCGGCCAAAACTTTGAGCTACTCGCAGCACGCCCCGGGCGATCCACCGTACATCCCGTAGCAGCTGTCGCTGCATGGACGATGGGCACCTGGGAATGCTATAAGAAGCGTGACGACCGGACGCCAATTCATCTCCATTCATCCTCATCAGCCCACTCTCCTCCCTACCCACCGATCCCCCCTCTCCCTACACCGGACCACCTTCTTTCCTTCCTCTTCCTCGCAATGATCGCTGCCAACCTCCTCACTCTGGCCGTCGCCGCCGCCGGCGCCGTTGCCGCTCCCCTCCAGAAGCGCGCCTACTCGGGCACCGCCACCTACTACGCCGCTGGTCTCGGCGCTTGCGGTGGCACCAACAGCGGCAGCGACTTCATTGTTGCCCTCAACGCTCCCACCTGGGGCACCTCGGACGGCCAGCGCAGCTCGCACTGCGACCAGCAGGTTGTCATCACCAACAACAAGAACGGCAACACCCAGACCGCCACCGTCGTCGACCTCTGCCCCGGCTGCGGCTACGGCTCGCTCGACATGTCGACCGGCCTCTTTGCCGCGCTCAACAACGGCAACATGGACGACGGCGTCTTCCCCATCACCTGGCACTGGGCCGGCGAGAGCGCCCCCGCCCCCGCCCCCGCTCAGGAGAAGCCCAAGCCCAAGCCCACCCCCAAGGAGACCAAGACCAAGGAGGTCGCCTCGGCCACCCCCACCCAGCGTGAGGCCAAGCCCACCCACAGCGCCTCGTCGACCTCGGCTGCCGCGCAGCCCCAGGCCACTGGCTCGGCCACCACCGTCGTCACCACCCCCGAGCGCTGGTCCAAGGTCGACAACACCTGCAACTTCACCGCTGACGAGAAGACCCTCGGCGTCGCCATCGGCCCTTCGGCCCTGCTGAGCAAGGACGACCTCTGGAAGGCCTGCGGCAAGTGGATCCAGATCGAGAACAACCAGAACGGCAAGTCGCTCAGCGTCCAGGTCGTCAGCTACCTGCCCGAGGCCGAGTCGACCTTCCTCGCCATCGCCGACGGCTACACCTGGCTCTCCAACGTCTACGGCGACTACGTCGAGCCCATCAAGTCGCTCACCTGGGGCTTCATCGACGGCCAGGACATCTAAGCGGACCGCGCTCCTCGTCAGCCGCTCCCCCGTGACCGCCCCCCTTTCTCCCCCTCCGCAAAAAGCAACATAGACAACGGGCTCGAGCCCGGTCGCTCGATGCCGCCATCCGTTCCTTGACCGACCGACGAGGGCGCAACGCGGTGCCAGCCACCCCGGAGCCCACCCTCGCGCTGTATTCCTATTCTACCCACCAAGCCACCTCAGAGTGCAGGACGCGCCGCCCCCTCGCGGAGACGCTGGCCGCCCCTCTCGCCTTCATAAGCTCGCCGATGCTTTGGGCCCTCTTCTCCACCCTTCTTTCCACCTTGTTCAAGACGGGGCCCATTCTTACGTGTATACGAGCTCCCCCTTCTTCCCACACCCTTCGTTTCGCTCTCCTGTTCCTCGTCTTACGGGCTTTTCAGATATCCCCTCTCCCCGCCCTCTTCTTCCGCTTCCATCTGGGAGCCATGCAGCATAGATAGATAGTCACCACGCTCGTCAGATCGGCCCTCGCCTGCCGTCGTTCCCTCTTTAGGTGCGACGCGGGAGTAGACGGCGCCACGACAGCCAAATGAAAAGCAAGGCGTAAAGCCTCAGTCCACCAAACTCGCCATCACGTTTGATGATCGTGCCGCTGTGAGATGCCAGTACCAGCCATTCTGCGGCTGCCCTTTCCCAATGGGCCAGCAGCCAGCCAGAGGAGCTCGCCCCTTTCGGTACCGGATCGCCTCCGCAGCGGACCGTGCCTGGCACCACTGACAGGCATCTTCTTCAAGCGTCTTGTCGGCTGCCGGCCGCCTTTGCTTCTCGAAGAGGGGCGTAACGTCTGGCATGGGCGGTCGGCGGCAGAGCAGGCTCGACCGGCTGACTACCCTTGACGACCCGCTCGTGAGCCAGCCGCTGCTGGGGTCGGTAAGCTGTCCGGCTCGCGGGAAGCCTCGGGACCGGTGACAGGGAGCGGCGCTGACGGAAGCCGGCAGCGTGATTGGCCCGCCACGCCCGACGCCCGTTTGTCCTGTGATAGGCGTGGCGGATTAGAAATCGGCGGGTGGCATTTCAAGTTTTGTATTCGATCCCGCGACGCCTTTCTGCTGTCAGCCGGTTGGGCGGCGCTGGGCCGGCCGGGTTGCCCTCGACTCGACTCGGACTCGACGCCTTTTTGCGCGGGCGACCCTTCTTTCCCCGCATGGCCCCCTCCTGGTGGCACTTCCGGCCTCGGTCTTCCTCGCTCTCGCCACCTCACTTCCTTCACCGACCCCCTCTCCTCTGTATCATAACGAGGCCCTCCGTCCGTAGCTCCCTTTTACCATCGCCAACAAGCTCGCGCCACACTAAGCAGCCACGCAGCTCCTTCCCCACCCGCGCCAACGCCACATCGATCGCTGCCTGGCCACCGCCTCGACGGACCGACGACTCGCAAGCATGCTGGCATCAAGGGCCGCCACCGCCACTCCGGCACGCCTCGTCTCCGCCGTCCGCCACGCTCTACCTCGCGGGGCGCCTTCCTCTTCCACAGCAGCAGCTACGAGGTCGCTGTCGAGCTACACACGGACGGCGCTGCCGGGATCCACCTCTTTTGCAGCACGTCCGACCCCCAACATCGCCTCGCGAGGCTTCAAGAGCTCCCCGCTGTCTCGGAGAGCCGTGCCCGCTGACGAGGTCGACGAACCGTTCGACCTCGCCAAGGTCGAGCGCGTCGCCGATGAGGCCGATGTCGTGATTGTCGGTGGCGGGCCCTCGGGCCTCAGCGCCGCCATCAAGATTAAGCAGCTGGCCGAGCAGAGGGGCGAGGAGATCCGCGTCGTCGTGCTCGAAAAGGGCCCCGAGGTGGGCAACCACATCCTCTCGGGTGCCGTCATCGAGCCCCGGGCCCTCGAGGAGCTCTTCCCGGACTGGAAGGAGATGGGCGCGCCGCTCAACCAGCCGGCGCTGCAGGACCAGATGCGCTTCCTCACGCCGACGGGCTCGTTCCCGATGCCCCACCCGCCACAGATGTCCAACAAGGGCAACTACATTGTGTCGCTGTCGCGCGTCACTGCGTGGCTCGGCGAGCAGGCCGAGGCCGCCGGCGTCGAGATCTACCCCGGCTTCGCGGCGTCGTCGCCCATCTGGGAGACGGACGCGAGCGGCAAGAAGATCGGGCTCAAGGGCGTCGTGACCAACGAGATCGGCCTCAACAAGGAGCGCCAGCCCAAGGACAGCTTCGAGCCCGGAATGGAGTTCCACGCGCCCATCACCCTGTTTGCCGAGGGCGCCCACGGCTCCATGACGCAGAAGATGATCCGCGAGCTCGGCCTGCGCGACGCCGTCGGTGCCGACCCGCAGACGTACGGCCTCGGCGTCAAGGAGGTGTGGCGGGTCAAGCCCGAGAAGCACCAGGCGGGCCTCGTCACCCACACCATGGGCTGGCCGCTCGACACCAAGACGTACGGCGGCTCGTGGACGTACCACATGGAGGACAACATGGTCTCGATCGGCCTCGTCGTCGGCCTCGACTACCAGAACCCACACCTCAGCCCGTTCCGCGAGTTCCAGCGGATGAAGCACCACCCCTTTTTCAAGGATCTGCTCGAGGGTGGCGAGTGCCTCGCCTATGGCGCGCGCACGCTCAACGAGGGCGGCTACCAGTCGATCCCCAAGGTCCACTTCCCCGGCGGTGCGCTGCTGGGCTGCGCCGCCGGCTTCCTCAATGTGCCCAAGATCAAGGGCACGCACAACGCCATGAAGAGCGGCATCCTGGCCGCCGAGGCCGTCGTCGACGCGCTGGCCAAGCGCACCGAGTCGGGCTCCTCGGACCAGATCGACCTGGCCGAGTACAAGGCCAAGCTCGACGACAGCTACGTCATGAAGGAGCTGTACGAGGTGCGCAACATCCGCCCCAGCTTCCACAACCCGCTCGGGCTCTGGGGCGGCATCGCCTACTCGGGCGTCGACTCGCTGCTGCTCAAGGGCCGCACGCCCTGGACCTTCCGCCACGTCGGCGAGGACCACGCCCAGACCAAGCCGGCGTCGCAGTGCGAGCCGATCGAGTACCCCAAGCCGGACGGCAAGCTGTCGTTTGACATCCTCACATCCGTCTCGCGCACGGGCACCAACCACGCCGAGGACCAGCCGGTGCACCTCGTCGTCAAGGAGGGCGACTACAAGGGCCACGTCGAGCGCAACGTCGGCGTCTACGACGGTCCCCTCGGCCGCGCCTGCCCCGCCGGCGTGTACGAGTACGTCGACGCCGACGAGGGCGGAGAGCACGCCCTCGGCAAGAAGCTCGTCATCAACTCGCAGAACTGCATCCACTGCTACACCTGCAGCATCAAGACGCCCGATCAGAGCATCCGCTGGGACGTGCCCGAGGGCGGAGGCGGCCCCAAGTACTCGATGACCTGATCCGTCGTCGCTGTACCTTTGCTCGCCCCACTGAGTGGCTTTCCAGACCTTGGCAGTCCCGCCTGTAGGCATCCCCAGCCCCAGCCCCAGCCCCTGCATCCGTACCCGCCTTTCTCTCCTTGCCATCGATCCAGAGCAATACAGAGCATTTCCAGCACCGCCTCCGTCAGCGAAGGTCGCCGCCGAGCACGCAGGCAACGTCTCGTCTCCGGGCAGGCCCGGCCGCGTCTGGCTCGCTTGCAGCTTTCGCTCCAGCCAGCCAGTCAGCCCGATCGACCGAGCAGAGCAGAGCAGAGCAGAGCAGAGCAGGGCAGGGCAGACCGCGTCCGCGCTCGCACCACTCGAGAGGGGCAAGACTGCGTTGCTGGTCAGCCTTCGTCCTCGCAGGCAAGCCTCTGCTGCAGGCAAGAGAGCGAACATACACATTATTTTATATGTGCAACAATCTTCAGCCTTTGCATAAGCAGCCTCCTTAGCTCAGTGGTAGAGCGCGTCACTAGTATTCTTGAACCGCCTCTGTGCGTTCGGGATGGCCATGACGAGGTCAGTCGTTCAAATCGGCTAGGAGGCAGTCCTTTTTCATCGGTTCGACGCGGAACTATCTTGCCTGGCGAGGCTGTCGGCGTCAAACCCTCAGATCCGATGGATTTCATTAAGCCTGGCCCGCACCTTCGACACCTTATCTTTTTTGGGTCTGGGCAAGAGGGCGAGCGAGGGGAAAAGTGGCTGCGCACCAAGGCAAGCGCAGCACCTATACGGGTACAAAATTCGGCCGTCATGACATCATCGGCGTCTGTCGTATAATGGTTATTATCTCTGCCTTCCATCATCGGCAGCAGCTATGTGTTAGCAGAGGACGCGAGTTCGATTCTCGCCAGACGCAACTTTTTTGACTTCGGGGGAGCAGAAAATGGACGGGCACCGCGGGGCCACAGGTCGATGCCGACGGAGATCTGATCTGGGACGTGAATGGCGGACATGGAAAATCAAGACGCCGTGGCCGCGTCATGGCCTGCGGGAACTGCCATTCACGGCCTGCCCCCCCGCGTGGAGCCGACCGAGATGGGATGGGATCGGCAGTCGCCGGGTGGAGCCGAACCGAGGCCGAGGGCGGGCAGTGAGCAGACACGGTGGTATGTACAGTACAGCACGGTACGGTAGAGCCGATAGAGCAAGGCGGAGCGAGCCGGGGGACGCTCTGACGTGGAGAGAAGCAAGGCGGCCCGGCCCTGCCGGCGGTGAGGATAGCCGGTTGTGGGGTAACGCCCAGCTAGGGCGGGTGTCGTGTCTCGCCTGGCCTGCCTGGCCTTGACATGCCAACCTAGCCTACTCCTAGGCTGCCGGCTACGCCTACACGAACGACGCGTAGCAGTTCCGGGAATCTCCGGCGAGCTTTCAACGCCGATAGGTGTCCCGGGGATCCTGCTCAGCGCCTGGACCGTGAACGCGATCCCAGGGGCGATGCGAGACTCGGCCCGGGCATGGACGAGAATGACTGTGCCATGCTGGAGCGGCTCGTCATCACCGCTCGGACGGTCGGGAGGATCGCGGCCCGGTACAGGTACGATAGAAGGCTGAAAGCGTAGACCTACTCGGCCGGTGCCTGGCTAGAAACGGTACCACCTTGCTGATCTTTGCCGTCTCGCACCGGACAGACATGTCCGGAAGCACGGCTGCTCTGGGCAACGCTGACGACGATGCATGCTGCTGGCGCTGAGCTCTGCTTGCGGTCGAAAATAGCACATACGCCCATTGCATGCAATCGCTCGCCGGCCAACCTCCGTGCTGGCCTGACGTGGGGTCATGGGAGGAGGCGTCGGCGCGGCCCTTCCCCCCACGTACAGTCGGGCTGTACCTACCGTGGGCAGCCTGCCTTCCTAGCCCAGCCTCATCTTGTGTCGACGGCGGCATGATTCCATGAGACGCACAAACGCACGGGGTCCCCGCTGTGCGTCCCTCCGTCCCTCCCCTGGCCCGCCGTCCGTCTGTCGTCTGGCGATCTAAGCGAGCGAGCGGGTTCTGTAGATCTCCAGTCGATTAGGCTAGCAAGCAAGCAAGCAAGCAAGCAAGCAAGCAAGCAAGCAAGCAAGCAAAGCAAGCAAGCAAGCAAGCAAGCAAAGAAGCCGGTCGGCGTCCTGTAGCTTCTTTCAGAGGCACTCGCGTCGTTCTTGGATCTCTGCCAGCTACCGCCTGTCGCCTGTCCATCCCGTACCGGCAGAGAAGTCCACGTACCTCACACGCCAGAGGCCTCTGGGTCGTAGGTACACGTACACGTACCGCCAGCGATGAGGGGCAGGAGCGACGGCCGGCGCCGTCGACGACGCACGAGCCGGTGGCGGAGTCGCAAAAGAGAGGAGCGCCTCGAGACGCGCACGCCTGAGGTCAGCATGCCGCAACCCTCTTGCGTCGCCGAGCTAGGCCGGACGTATGGCCTTCTCCGGATCACCGCCAGGCTCGCTCTACAGCACGGCAGGACCGCACCAGACATACAGACAGCTAGGCCAGCTCTTCCCAGGTTGCCGTGCTCTGGACGTGTTGCGCCAACACAGCCTCGGCGAAGCAGGCTAGGCTAGGCTAGGCCAGGCTAGGGCGAGGGTGGGTCGTGGAGCCGGCCCGGGGACCGAGCGAGCGAGGCTGCGCCGAGACCGCTGCGCCGCGCTTGCCTCTCCCCGCCACGCCCTGCCTGCGCGTGGGTTGGACACCGGTTCCCGACCCCAGGGACTGAAATTTTGTTGGGGCCAGCGCGCAGGCGCACCGAGCCAAGACAGAAGCAAGATGAGAACGTACAGGCAGGCAGGACGAGGTGCGCAGAGCGAGCGCGCCGTCGCAGCATCACTACGGCAAGAGGCCGGGCGGTGTTCTCCCTCTCTGTCCCTCCATTGATTGCCTTTCTCTTTTGTTCTGCTGCGGAGAAAGAGACAGGGGCAAGCCAAGGTCAGGCGTCTGGGCCAGCTTCGATCCGCCCCCGCCATCGCCATCGCCATTGCCATTGCCCACCGCCTCGACGGGCGCAGATGGCAGAGAGAGTGTGCCATGCTCTGCCACGCCTTGCTCTGGCCGGCCAGCTGGGCGACCGACCAGGCCGAGGTAGACTGGCGCTGGAATTGCCGCGGCACGGCGAGGTCATGTCGACGCTTGTTCCTGATGATGCTGCTTGCGAGCTTCTTTCTGCAGAGAGCAGCGAGTTGGGCGCCGAGCGGATCCCGCCTGCCCGCGCCGGTCTTGCATACCGCCTTGGGTGCTACGCAGGGTGGGCGTGCGTCGTGATGGCTTGCGGCCACGCACCGTTGGGGCGGCTTTGCTTGAGCCTGGCCCCCCGCGACGACCGCCCCCAGCGCCCGCCATCAGGGCAACGAGCCATGGATTGACGGGCAAACGGCGTCTACCGACGTGGCATCGCCCGGTTCTCGTCGTCAAGCAGCCAGCAGGCCAGCGAAATTGGCCAAGAAGGGGGCCGGGATGGGCCGAAAGGGGCGACGGAGTCCTGCCGAACGGGCGGCGCGACCAGAGGCGGGCGGGCGCTGAGCTCAAATTCGAGTCCAGCGAGCGCAGGCTGGCTGGCGGGGCGGTGACCGGCAGGCAGGCACGCCCACTCAGCCCTGCCTCCAGGTAGCAGCCTGCCCGGCCTGCGCCCCCCCATTCCTCCCTCTCTCGGCTTCAGCCATCGCAGCGATCTTCGCGACGACCGCTCCTGCCTTGGCTGCCTGCTTGCTCGTTTCCTCGTTCCTCGTCTCCTCGACCTCGTATCGTCGTGCCTGCCTCCATCGACCTCGACAGTCCGCCGGGCCCTTACCGGTGTCGCCTCACTGACCGGCCGCGGATCCACCCGGCCCCCGCGCTTGCAGCCACGCTTTCCCGAATCTTGAATCCGCCTTTCCGCCATGGCGTAGCCCCTGGACCCAGCTTCGGCATCCTCGTCTACTACCAGAGTAGTCTACCCCGCTCGACCCTCCCGGGCCACCCGCCTTCAGGCCAACAACACCTAGCGTGTTCCCTTCCGACCACCAGCCATTCAACCTCTGCACCGATATCGGCCAGCCATCATCATCGCCGCCGACCCTCGCGCACAGCCGCGCACTTTCGTCAGCCAAGCCCAGGCGCCCATCTCGCACTGCGCCGGCGGTAAACCGCGCGCTCCTTGTTATCGCCGACAGACACAAGAGTCGATCCTAGCCTATCGCGCCTCTTTGCTTGGCTCGCCCGCCCCGCCCTGCCTCGCTTTGATTGTTCCGGTCCCTGCATCAATCGGTGCTCTGCCTCATCGACAATCGACAGCGCCGCATCGTATGCGATCGTCAAGCAGACGTTTGCTCCAGTCGCCACCTCCGATACCAGACAACGCCTGCGGCATACCTACGCTCGACCGCAGACTGTGAGTCATCGCAAACTTCTCGCCCGCGGCGCAAGAGTACCACCCCGGCATCATCAGCCTCGACACTTCCGGCCCTTCCTTGTCTCCGTTCCCTCGCCTTCTTGCAGCGCGATCCGGTCCGTTGACCTTGCTTGCTCCTCGACACTCGCAACCTGACCACCGCGGTCCCTCCTGTCCTATCTCCACCTCACACCAGCACCTAGCCAACGTCCTCGCCCTCGCCACCTGCTGAAGGCAACGGCGACCCCTCTCCGCCGCCCCCGCACAGAAGGCCAACATCGAACTGCGGACCTCGACGCGGGCATCTCCGGCCCAGATGCCAGCCGTCGCACCTTCGGGCCACCAGCGGCCTCCAGGGGCAGACCGGTCAAACAAGCTCAAACCCCTGCCACCTCCGACCGCGCGCGACGACGAAGACGAGACCACAACCGACGACGACAGCAGCGATGAAGACGCCGCCCTCGAGATGGACGGCCAGGAGCTGTGGACTCAGAACTACTGCGCCACCTGCGACTGCCTCATCGAACCGGGTGAGGGTCTGGCCGGGGCGGGCGCGGCCGAAGCAGCGCCGACCCCGCACACCAGCCTCAAGAGCCGATCGGGCACGATAAAGGCTCGCGGCCCGGACGGCGGCTCGGACGTCGCGCAGCAGCAGAATCCGCATGGGCCGAACGCCGCATCAAAGGGCGCCGCCGCCACCTCCAACACCAGCAGCAACGGCAACAAAGGAGCCGACCTGAAGCGCACCAACTCGGCGGGCCGCTTGCATGCGCGCGGCCCCAACGGCCCACTCGGACCGCACAAGCGCACCGGCAGCGCGGGTAGCCGTCTGAATGCGCTGAGCGAGCTGCGTCCCACCACCAAGCTCCACCCGACCCAGGACGACGTCAAGGGCAAGGGCAAGGCTTCGTCGGGCCAGGAAGCTAAAGGCCCCGGCCGCCGCAGTCCAGCAATCAGCCGGAGGGGATCCTCGGCCAGCGTCAAGTCTCTCAACCACAGCGGCAGCGGGCCCAGCTCCACCAAGTCGGACGATGGCACCGGCAGCGGCCCGGTCAAGCCAAAGTCTCGCGGCTTCCTCGGCGGTCTGACGCCCGCAGCGCTCAAGCAGCAACAGGCCGAGATGGCGGAAAAGAAGCGCGCACCGACACAGCTCTACTGCTCCGAGCGCTGCCGCGCAATCGACCAGAACCGCTCCACGGGCCTGGGCGAACTGACCCAGTACCTCTCGCAACCCCTGCAGCCAGTCGCACCGGCCGCCGCGTGGGTGAGCGGCGGTGGCTGGGTCGTCGGACCGGCGGCCTCGCAGTGGCCCCGGTCGACGAGCCTCAGCTCCGTCTCGATACCCTATGTCACCGGGACGCCCGAGAGCGAGTGCATGTGCGCCGACTGCCTCGACAAGTGCGCCGACGGCGGCAGCGCCGGCGGAGCCACCGTTCCCAGCGGCGCCAGCGACACGACGGAAAGCTCGGGCGGCTACATCTACGGTCGGCCTGCCACCCGTCAGAAGATGAGGACCGCGAGCGGTCGCATCGTGACGCCTCTCAACCTTCACCCGCCGGGCAGCTCCCCAACCGTCGACAGCTACTTCCCCGCGGTCCCCGGCCACCCGTCGCATGCCAAGCGCGATTCGACCTCCAGCCTGCGATCGAGGCCGGGCGACGGCGCAGGCCACGACGCCGACCGACACCGCTCGAACCCGGTACCCTCTGCTGCCGCCACCGTCCGCCCTCCTCCCCGTACGGCCTCCACTGGCCCCGTTGGCAGCGCCAGCACCGCCGATACCGAAAGCTCCGGCAGCCACGTCAGCCTATGGGAGCCCAAGCTGCGCCGCCCGTCCGAGGCGACCGGGTCCGGCACCATCAAGCGGACCAGTCCTTCGCGCAGGCCAGTCCGCGCCCACGGCAGCGAGTCTTTGAACTCGGGACGGACCACCGTCACCGCGACGCCCGCAATCACGCCGCGGCAGTCGATGATGTCGCAGCAGCCGCTCGCCCCTCTGTCATCGGATCGACACCCATCCGGCGTCGACGCGCAGGTGATGCCGGTGCCGACGGTAACGCACAGCGCCGGACATCGCACGGAGCTCAGCTCGGGCGGCGCGGCAACACGTAACAGCCGCGCGCAGTCGACCTCGACGGCGAGTGCGTCGGCCGCCAGCTTTGCCACCAGCCCGCTCAACCTTCTTCGCGGCAGCAGCGTCCACCAGCATGCGGCTCCGTCGGTCGATGTCTGGAACGAGCATGTCGGCAGCCCGCCCTCCGCCCTCGCCGGAGGTGTCGCCGCGACCCATGCCTCCCTCCTGTCGAGGAGCTTGGCCAGCAGCGAGAACACGCTGCCTGGTTCCAGCAGCATCACCGTATCGGGTCAGAAGGATGACGCGCGCCAGCGCCACCAATCCGGCCAATCCTCGCACGCCGCAGCCGCATCAGACAAGCGGGCCACCACGGCCAACATCGACATCGCTCAGGGTATGGGCAGGACGTCGTCGCGGGATGCCGAGGGCCGCCGGAATGGCGGAGAGGGCAGATCCATGAACGAACTGAGCCTCGCCGTCGGCAGTCTCAAGCTGGCGCAGACGCGCGCGCACCAGCGCCACGCCTCGACCAGCCTCTACGATGACCACCCGCCGAAACATTCCCGGCGGCTCTCGCTCTTCGGACCGGTCACGGCGACGGCCGAACGTCGCCCTTCGACGGGTACATCGGGCTCCAACAGCGGCTGGTTCCGCTCCATCTCGTCGGCCTGGGCCACTCTTCGTGGCGCACCCGCCGAGCTTGACCGGATGGGTGACCTCGAGAGCGGCCGCGGAGGAGACGACGGCGTCCAGGAAGCCGGATCCGTCGAGCATGCGGTCATGGATCAGGGCTCCAGGGCTCGAACAGGGCCAGCCTCGTCGTCGCGCTCGACGGTGCAGTTCCGCGAGCCCGCTGCGCCACTGCGGCGAGGCACGAGCTCGCAGGGCTCCTCGCGAACACCGGCTGAGGCCTCTTCCTCGCTGCCAGAGCACAAGGAGCGGCCCGATGCCACGCCAACACAGAGCCTGGTGGCCAAGCCGACCATCCGCCGCGGCCGAGTCCCAGCCTTTGTCAAGGAGATCGGCCACGGCGAGATTCCCGGCGATGCGACAGACAACTTCGGTGTCCAAGGGAGCTCCTACAGGAGCGCCACGGACACTGCCATCGGCGCCAGCCCCGAGTCTCGCAGCCGCGAGGGAAGCCTGTCGCGTGTGGCCACCGCCGCCGACGAGGAAAAGGCTCGCCGGCGGCAAGAGCGAAAGGAGGCCAGCCGGCAGCGACGGTCGCGGGACATCCACGTGCTGCCCCCTTTGCTGGCGCCCATCAGCCGCAACAGCAGCAGCACCAACCTGCTCTACGGCAATGCGCCGCACAGCGCTCGCGGCACCAGCCATGGTCGACCGCGAACGCACAGCACCACGCCGCAGATGGTGGTCGGCAGCGCGGGCTCCAACGTCGTCCAGCACGTCGCGGTGCCGCCCCACCGCTCCACCACGCCAGGCTTTGTCGGCCACTCGAACGGCCCACCTTCCCCGGCGGCCATGATGAGGAGCCCGTTCCAGGGCGCCTTCCCTCCCATTGTCGGGGCCGACGGCCGCACGATCGTCAGCCCGTCTCGACCTGGCAGCGCGGCGGGCTACTACAGCACCGGCACCTCGCCCCGGGCGAAGGGCCTGGGCTGGGGTGCAATGACCTCGATCGCTGCAGCGCCCCTGTCGGCTCAGCTGCCTGGCACCGGTGGTCACCACCATCCCCAGCACCACCACAGCACGTCGATCGGCTATGGCCACGCTGCCGCCGTCGCTTCCCGTGCCACCCAGCACGCCGCCCATCGCCACTCTCACCACGCCGGCCACGGCCACGGCCACGGTCATCATCAAGTCTCGCACGGCGCCCACGGCGCTCAACGAGGAGCCCATCCGGTCCGTCACAACACGAGTCTGCAGCTGGGCACGCTGGGCATGCTGGGAGCCCACCCTCACGGGCACGCGCCCGTGGTCGGACGGCACTCGACGATGCCGCATCTCATCAAGCGGAGCCCCACGCCGAGCGTGCCCGAGGACGGCGGCGAGATGACTTCGCAGGACCTGACCAGCGGCGACTTTATTCCGCGCCCCAACAGCGCCATGACGCAGGCTCAGCGCAGCCGTGCGGCCATGATGCCGCCGCCGCGATCGCGCAGCTCGATGGGCGTCGACTCGGCGGTCGGCCACCGCCAGAGCGCCGCCGCCAGCGTCCAGCAGCATGCCCACGAGGTAGCCGGCGACGCCAGCGGCGGCCTGGGTCCGGCCCACGCCGTTGCACAGCCCGAGCGTCCCGCGTCGAGCCAGAACACCTGGAGCTACGAGGCGCTCCCCGGGCTCAAGACGTACCCGGTGCTTCAGCTGCCGAACCGCGAGACGCACGACGTCTATGACCAGGGCTGGGGCCTTGACTCTGGCGGCCTGGCCAAGCACCTGACGGGCCGAGCGCAGCGCGAGGACAGCGAGGGCGCGCCGATTGACGGCCAGGCCGATGGCGGTCCCGCGCCTCCGCAGCATCGCAAGAAGCTTTTCTACTTTGACGCTTGATCCGTATACGGGTGGCGATCCCCGCTCTCTCGCCGTCGACATCGCCGCTCCACGGCGCTCGCCTGGTCCGTCGAACCCAGGCGCCTTGTCTGCTTTTTTGGGTCCTCTTGGTCCGTCTCTCCTTTCCTGTCCCGCTTCTCAGCTCTCGCCCTCGCCCTCGCAACCTCTTCCCCCTCTCTCCTGTCATTGGCTTTCTTCAAGGGTTCCTCCGTCTCCTGGTCCGCTCCCCTCCCTCTGGCTCTGTCACGCGTGGCCGCTGCGCCTCGACTCTGGCGGATACCTGTTCCTCCCTCGCATCCCTGTCGCTTTCCCCCCCCCCCCCCTGCCTGCTGTCACCCTCGGTCTTGGCCTGTTCCCCCCTCCGTCCTCGTCCGACATGGCGATGCGCGCCCCTCTTTGGGTGGCCCGCCGTGTTGATCCCTTCATCCCGTGTACTTTTATCTTCAATTGATCCTGCATGGTTCCCCCGCTGTCCGCCTTCTTATCTGGTCTGTTGGGAGCTCCAGGTGGTGTGCCGTCGCGTGTGTTTCGGCCGCCAGAGTCACGCTGCACTTTTGGCCCTGTGGCCAGGGCGTGGCGCGGCGGGTCGATGTCGCCGCGGCCAGTCCAGGCCGGGCGGTGAGGCGGCAGCTCGCTGAGCGGTGTGTTGGCCCCTGCCACCCTCCTCCACCTGCCGATGTGCAAGCCAGGTGAAAAGGGCGCGCCGGGCGGAAAAAGCAGCGAGGCGATGTCAGTCAGGGTGCCGTCAGAGGGCCACGGCCAGCGTCAGGGCCAGGCACACCTCGGTCGCCTCGCCTCCGCCCCCTCCTCCTTTCTCCACCACCACCACCACCAACAACGCCGCCGCCGCCCATCCACCCACTCGGCGTCCATCTATCCGCACCCACTTCTACCTGCAGCCATGTCTGTCATCGCCGCCGTCGGCCTCCAGGTGGCCACCTCGGCGCTCGTCACCTACCCCTACGAGGTGACCGAGGTGACGTACAAGGCAAACTACCAGCCCCTCCCCAACTCGCCCGCCGCCCTCTCGGCGCCCGGCAGCGTGCGCCTGACCAGCCTCTACTCGACCTTGAAGCACCACCTCTTGTCGTCGCCCCAGGGCGCATTCGAGCTGCTGCGCGGCGCCGTCCCTTCATTCCTCTACTCGGTCGCCTACGTCTCCCTCTTCCCCGCTTACGCCTCCCTCTTCAACGCCGTCCTGCCCACGCCCACCCTCGGTGCACCCACCGGCGTCGTATGGAGGGACGCTCTGCCGTTTGAGGCCCACCGCGCCCTCGCCACCTCGACCTGGCGCGTCGTCCTCCAGCCCCTCACCTCGCTCCTCTACCGCACCCTCCTTGCCCCCGGCTGCCGCGAGCTGGCACCCATCTTCCCCTCGGTCTCGGCCCTCTGGAACGCATCCACCCGCACCACCTCGGCCCACCACGTCGACACCTCGTCTTCGTCGTCGTCGCGCGCCGCCACAGAGGCAAAGCAGCGGGTCAACGAGGCCAGCGACCGCGTCGCCCAGTCTGGCGTCGCATCCCTCTTCCTCCCCTCGGTCTCGCTCCTCGAATTCGGTCACGGCATCCTCTCGGCGGCCGCCAACCTCGTCGTCGCACAGGCCGGCCTCCCCATCCTCTCCTACGCCGCCCCGCAGCACTTCCCCCCCTCGCCGCGCGGATTCGGGTTTGACGTCCTCAACGCTGCCCTCTGGGCCCTCGGCGGCGTCGCCCTCCGCCTCTCGGCCATGGCCTTCAGGACCGTCTCGATCCGCCTCTCGGTTCAGGACACGGCCACCCCGGCGGCATCGGACGTGGAGGCCTCATCTGCCTCGGCCGGCACCGGCGACAAGGGCGCCAGCAAGATTGTCCTGCGACCCAAGAGGTACACGGGCATCCCCGACGCCTTTGCCTCGATCGTCCGCGAGGAAGGTCTCGGCGCCCTCTTTAGGGGCTGGGTCGTGGCCCTCATGCTCGACGTCGTCGCCGTGTCGTCGACCATGGCCATGGCAGCCGCCAGCCTGCCGCAGATGACCGAGGGTCCCTCGTTCTGAGCCCGCAGCAGTGCGCGCGCCCCTTCGCGTGCGTCGCAGCAGGCCATCCACCCACACGCTCCCTCCCTCTGTGCATGAGACCTTGGCCTCTCTGGATTGTGGTCAACTTCGGCGTCCTTGCTCGGATGCTCGCCCTTCTACATTACGCTACGCTACGCTACCCAGCGACATGCCTTCCAACACAACCCTCATCTGCCCTCCGCGCCCACGGCTCGACTCAGTGGTTCATGCCCTGCAGCCGGCCCTTTGCCCTCACGCCCGTGCCCCCTTGGCCAATCGGGATCTGGAAGACGCCCTGCTTGCCATCCTCGGCCTCCATCAGCGCCCGATTGGCCTCGACGGGTCGGATATCCTGCGCCGCCGTACCGACCGTGACGTGCGGGCGCCACCGTCCCTGACCCTGCCCGCCACGGCCGCCCTGGACCGCCTCGAAGTCGGGCACCGAGGCCGACGAGACGTCGCGAACCGACAGCGCCATGACGCGGCCGTCCCAGATGAGTCGGTCGAGCACCATGTCGAACTCGACGACGTCGTTCGAGGGTCGGCAGAGGTCCGCGTACCGCTCCCACCGTGCTGTGGCGCCGGCGACGTCTTCGGCCTGCTTGGCCGGCGCGTCTTTTGTCTCGGCGGCCTCGGGGTTGGTGATGCTTTGAGACTCCTGCTCCTTTGCCACGGCGGCCGAGTGCACCAAGGTAATGTGCGGGCGGAGCGTGATGCGCTTCTCCTGCCGCAGCTGGTGGAAAAACTCGCGGCCGCTCGCTATCGCCTCGGACGATGCATCGCTGCTTTGCCCTTCGTCGAAGAGCTTGCCGAGCACAGCGTGAAGGTCAAGCTCGACGGCGATGCCATAGTACCGCACCTTGACGCCACCGCCGCCGCCGCTGCCGGCCTTGGCCACCGCTCCCGCTTCCGCTTCCGCTCCGCCGGTGCCCTCGACGGCGTCCTTGTCGCCGGCACCGCCGGCGCTCTTCTTTTCAGACTTTGTCTCGCGCTTGACCGCCGGCTTGTACTCGACCGCCTTGGCCAGTGCGGCCTCGATGCGCGCGTCGTCGGGCATCGGCAGGCCCAGCATGGGGCAGAGGCCCTTGACGATGCGGCGCAGCGACGCCTCGAGCCCCTCGTCGACGCCGAGCCAGATGGTCTCGTCGAACTTG